ATCTTTATCTTTTACATAAAAGCATCCCATGGACAGGATGAAACATAGACTATTTATTCATGTATAATTTTCTGAATGCCCCAAAGCAGAGTTCATACACTGACAAGTGTTTGGGAATGAGAAGAAACTGAAAATACAACTGACCATCTTGCTGTGATTGGATTAATCCACCATGACATCTCAGTTCATGCAAAACCTACTCATTTTCATTTCACTCAGAGCCAGCAAGGCATAGAATTCATCCCATGAAAACACTCGCTTTGTTATCATAAATATTCATGTTACTGAATGATAAATCTCATCTTCCAAGAAAAAAATATTAATACCAATTAATAATCACATGCTTTATGTAGTTTGAGAAGAAAGGGCGAGATCTATTAATAGGAAAAAGAGCGATTCTAAATTTGAAGACAGAAATAATTGCTTCTGATGCAATTGTTTCCCTGGCAGTTGTGCTGGGCTATTAAAGAGTAGATTGCATGAGAGCAGCTTGCAAATTACAGCACTAGAAACAACAAAAAAAAAACCAACATAGAGCAATGTGAAACAGAATAAGAAGTGACAAGTGTTAACCTACAAAGGAACTTAGTGACATTGCCAAGGTCACAGAGAAGAATCACTTATTCACTAAGAATAGTCGGGGGGAACATTCTGTTTTCATATTTACATCTGCAAATATGACTGTCCCAACTAATCAAACAAGGTGAGCATAAAAGAAATTACAGCTTCTTATCCCACACTGAGCTGTGTGGGAATAGTAGTGCTGTCTTCCCTTTGGATTTTCTACCACACAGAACAGCGTTATGGAACAGGTTTACAAGTTACATTTGCAGTTTCACAAATAAGCATCTCCTGCTGCGGGTAGACTGAGGTCTTTCAAGGTCCCAATGAGGTTCAACTGGGCCCAGATTGTTTAACTTGCTCACCAATGACTTGGATGAAGGGGCAGGAGCCTCCTCAGCAAGTTGGATGATGACACAGAGCTGGGAGGAGGCAGCTGGTTCCCCCCAGAGCTGTGCAGCCCTTCAGAGGGACCGTGACAGGCTGGAGAGATGGGCAGAGAACTGTCTGAAATTCAGCCAGGGCAAAGACAGGGTCCTGCACCTGGGAATAAATAACTCCAGGCACCAGCCCAGGCTGGGGGTGACCTGCTGGAGGAGGATGTGGGAGTCCTGAGGGACACCGAGCTGTCCCTGAGCCAGCAGAGTGTCCTGGGGATCGTCGGGATGGGCACTGCCAGCGGGCCAGGGGTGACCCTGACCTGTGCCCGGCCCTGGGGGCACCTCTGGGTGCTGTGCCCAGCTCTGGGGGCACCTCTGGGTGCTGTGCCCGGCCCTGGGGCACCTCTGGGTGCTGTGCCCAGCCCTGGGGGCACCTCTGGGTGCTGTGCCCAGCCCTGGGGCACCTCTGGGTGCTGTGCCCGGCCCTGGGGGCACCTCTGGGTGCTGTGCCCAGCCCTGGGGGCACCTCTGGGTGCTGTGCCCAGCCCTGGCTCCTCAGCACAGCAGGGCCAGGAGCTCCTGGAGCTGAGCAAGGGCCTGGAGCAGCTCCAGCCCAGGAAAGGCTG